TCTTCCTATTGGTGACCTAATCAAAATGGCCGACCTGGATGTGGGGAGTGGGATCTCCGTCCCTGGCTTCCTGCAGGTTAGTCATGTGACCTACCTTCCAGCTGTAATCCTCAGAGTCTGGCATGTGGGGCGAAGCAGAGCAGAGTTAGTGGCAGTTAGAGGAGGAGCCAAGCAGGAGAAGCCAGAGGAAGGTTTATGGCACATACAGGCTAACTAAACGGGCTGGTCTGGGTTAGTTTGGACCAGTTTTGGGTTGGTTTTGGTCAGTTCTGGTCAGTTGTAGTCCGTTTTGGGTTAGTTCGGGTCCGTTTAGGACCAGTTGAGGTCAGTTTTGAGTTAGTTTGGGTCAGTTGGAGTCCGTTTTGGACCAGTTTGGATCTGATTTGGGCTAGTTTTGGGTTGGTTTGGGTTAGTCTGGGTAAGTTTTAGACCAGTTTACGTTGGTTTTGGCTTGGTTTGGGTCAGTTCTGGTCAGTTGGAGTCCATTTTGGGTCAGTTTGGGTCAGTTTTAGACCAGTTTAGGTCGTTTTTGGGTTGGTTTGGGTCAGTTGGAGTCCGTTTTGGTTATTTCGTGTCCGCTTAGGATGGTTTGGGTTAGTTTGGGTCAGTTGGGGTCATTTTTGACCGGTTTAAGTCAGTTTTCGGTTGGTTTGGGTCAGTTCGGGATAGTTTTAGACCAGTTTGGATCCATTTTGGACCAGTTTAGGTCAGTTTTGGGCTGGATTGGGTTAGTTTGGGACGTGCGCTCAGCTCCGTGGGGTAAGACGGGTTGTCAAAAGAAGGTTTTATATCAAATACATGCAAAATAGCATTCAGCAGGACTGAATCTGCCAGCATCCAACAGGAACTAACCGCTAACTAGCTTTAGCACCACTTCCTGGTGCTCAGCCAATAGCTGGTTCTTGCAAAAATGTAGAAAATAAATGAAGTTAAAGTAGAAAAAAGTTTTTTCTCTTCATTCTACAAGATTGTTTCTTAATTTGAATGGATTTCTGTTGGATTTAGGCAGTTTCAGTCCCCCATAGATGGAAAGAGAGCCCAGACCAGGGTTTTGGGACACTAGGAGTGGAGTACAGGCACAATACGGCTGTTTAAGGCAGCATGAACACCCTCAGTACGTGTAAACCGGCCCTCTGAGGGGCTTCTGTCCTCTGGATCTGGCGTTTATTTCAGAAACTCAAACTAAAATAACACTAAAGCACTAAATCTTTACAAAAACGCTTAATTTTAGCTCCTTTCTTCATCTTCTAAGGTAAATAATTCTCCCAAAACTTCCCAACTAGCCTCTTAATCCAGGCCGGTTCACATTAACTGAGGCTGAGAGACAATTTAGCTCAAAGTTTCCTTTTGAAAAGAGCTGAATTGTTTCTAAATGAGGCAAACATTTATCTGAACATCAGATCCTTTGTCCACCAGATGGCGCTGCAACTTCCATCAAACATGCAGCAAAGTTTCACTTTCTTCTCTATCTGCAGCGTTTGAAGCCCAAAAATATTAATACTCATATTAAAAATCTATTTCCTAAAACTTGAGTTTGTTTTTTCTTGTTTTATTCCTAACTAATGGGACTGTAGTGGCCTTTTGGAGGGTGAAAATCCCAAAACTAAAATAAGATTTAAGGGAAAAGTGGTTTTCAAAAACTGATTCATTGACAGTGGAAAATGTTAATATTTTCGTTGGAGACAAATGAGTATTAAATTAGTTTTAAAGAACCCCCCAAAAGTTAATAAAGACACTGTTGATTATCTAAAGCTGGAAAGTTCCATTACTGCCCAGCAGGGGGGGACAACAGCCATATTGTACATATTAAAGCCAGGTATATTAATATATATTATAGTATAATGTTATGTATTATATAATATATATATTTTATATATATATTTACTAAATGTATAAATATATCTAGTATATTTAATATTATAATATTATGTATTATAGTTCAATATAAACATTAAATAACCAGGTAAATGGTCTTAAAACAATATTTAAATATATAAATATTTATACATGTATTCAAATATATAAAAAGATTTAATCTATTTAATATAATAATCTATCATATTATATATGAATATAAACCTTTAATAAGGAGGTAAATGGTCTTATTTTGGTTCTGAGTGGGACAAATAGACCTGATGTTCAGTAATAAAACAGAATAAGTGGTATTAAAAGAGATCTTAAATCTGTGTGTGAGAAAAAACACTCAGTAATAAAATAGAATAAGTGGTATTAAATCTGTGTGGGGGCGGGTATGACGGGTTACCTCGTGCTGACAGGAAGAGCGAGCTGTTCAGGTACTGCGAGGCCAGCCGTTTACGCTGCACAGAAACAGGAAGTGGTTACAGACACCTGTGTTTACGTTTACGTTCAGAGGAGGAAGTGGAGCCGGCCGCTCTCTGACCTCCGGCTCAAACAGGCCGCTGTAGGCCGGGTTGGCTGTGCTCCTCCTCTTCCTCTCCTGCCTCTTCGTCTGGATCTCTGTAAACACAGGAAGAGAAATGAGCAGGGGTCTAAGGTCAAACCGGAGGGTGTGGGGGCGGGGGAGGGGCTCACCTTCCAGGTGCTCCGTGGTCACCAGGCCCAGGGCCACCATGAAGGCAATTTTCTGAAAGACACACAATAATAATAACAATAATAAAAATAATAATCCATGTCCCTGATATCCGTCCGGTCATTTTCCAGCCCTTTAGCTTTAGCATTAGCATCTTTAGCTCACAGCTCTGTGTCCTAACCATTAGGATGGCCATTTTAATCTGAAGATATCAATAAAAAATGTCTGTTTTGTGGGGTTATTTTATCCTTAAGGCCCAAAAAGAGGAAGAGCTGGATGTAAAACAGAGTTAATAAACCATTTTATATCCAGGTTGTTGCTTTTTAATACAGTTTACAATATTATTGTCACTTTTTACTGTTCACTGATGCCATTTCTGTTGGTTATGATAGATAGATAGATAGAGAGATAGATAGATAGATAGATAGATAGATAGATAGATAGATAGATAGA